GGTTTCCAGGAGTGTCAGCCGTGCGCAGTGAGCGTCGCATTGCAAGCCTCCCTTCTCTACGGTCAAGAACAGGGTATGTACCCCGACAACAACGGTAAGCTGAAAATTGATGTCAAAGGTTTGGTCTTGAGGAATGCGTGGGCGCGACGGCGCGGACGTCGTTGTCGTCTTCGGCGCAGGGCGAGGCGTCGGCGCCATGTGCGGATGGAAGTGCTGGTCTTCGCGCATCATGGGGAGCGTGCAGCGGAAGGCTTTGGACATCTGCATGTTCGACTCTTTACTGGGGGCATGATGTCGACGTGGCACGACGTGTGGCGGTTGCCCAGCGACTCCATGTCCAATGCACATGCTGCAGATTTGCTCCCCGAGGACTTATCGGCGTACCCGTATCCGGGGCTGGGGAATGTTCAACGGCGCGGAACCCATAGTTGAGGATCCGGTGTCGCGCGGTACGGCGTGGTCCTGACAACACGCGGAGAGGCGGCAAAACCCTCGGCGTCTGCGTCAGAATCCCTGTGGAGACAGTGGAGAGCGTCAAGAAATACCGTGCAGCAGCGACCCTGGAGGCCATGCACCGTCGATTACGCTGGCATCCAAGGTCGTGTCCATTCGCTGCTGCTGGAGAGCGGCAATTATTACGTTGGGTGGATCAGCGCGTTTGAATACCGCATCGTGCAACACTTCTGCGGCGCGAGCTCGACATGGACGATGCGGCACAAGCCGCTCCAAGTGCTGGCTTGCGTCGCTGGTGACACGGGGCTCGAAGATATCGTCACCATATCGCTCGTGAGCCAAGTCGGCTGGGAGCGGGTGAGGGGTGGTCGTTGGTGCCAGCTGGCTCTCGAAGGGCCGCCAGACGCAGTGATGCGGGCGATGGCTCCCCAGAAGCCTCGACCAGATCCGTGCAATGGGCATGCTGCGCCGGACGGCGGCGCGTGCGCCGCCTCGCGGGGCGCGGCTCAGGACGGCGAGCCTGCGCCTCCCCAGCCTGGAGAGCAAGAGGTGCCGGGAGAGCGCGAGACGATCGCGATCACGGCGCGCCAAAGCCGATGGCGACCCTTGCGCTTGGCGCGCCGAAGTACGGAGCACGCAGGCGGCGCAAGAACGCACCAAACGCGGCTTCAAATGCATCTGCGCGGCTACGCTACCAGATCTCACCGGGCGCATCTACGAGTGGCGGCAGCCTCGGGCGCCTGCACCTTGACCGAGAGCGAGGTTGCACGGAATCGGGCCCCTATGACAAAACTCAGCGGCGTGAGACATGGCAAACGTGAGTTTTAAACCTACTCGCTGGCGCTCTCGCTAGCCCATAGGATGCTCGTCGCTTCAACCGCGGCAAGCATGCAATCCACGATATCGACCAGGGCGCAGCCGGACTCGCGCCAGGTTGCGGCCGTCGTTCGTTGGCGCAGCAGCAGGTCCAACCATGCGACCGCTAGCTGCGAGCTTGCGCCGTCAATGTTCACGCACGTGATCTCACCCTCCAAGGCCTCGAGGTATGCGTCCCTCACCACATTCTCGGGGCCACACATGTGGAGCCCGAACCTGAACAGAGTATCGACCAGGAGGCCGCCGGATGCAAGCTTGGCGTCGTTCGCGCACCTGCGCGCAACACGGTCATAGCCCATATCTGGATTGTCAAAGAAGACGCGCTTGTCGAGCAGGCCCACGATGCAGGCCCAGGCATGGGGGCGAGCTGAGTGCCAATCGTGTGGATGCGCGATGGCGAAGAAGCTCTTCCAGGATCTCAACGGGCCAGCTGAGGAGGCCGTTGCAGCTGCGAGACACGCGCAAGGCGACTGGCATCAACTGCGTGCAAGAAAGCAGTTGTGCCCCGATCACACAGATGTGCCCAATGAGTGCTCAGGCCAGGGCGCTTCCCTCGCTGGCGCGCCCCCGTGCTTCGTGGCGAACCAGCTGTTAAACGGCACCGCGCCCGAGAGCTGTCCGCTAGATCACTCTGCCGTCGCGTGGACAGACCGCAACCTCGGACTGCGCTGCGAAAGTGTTGAAGACATGGCGGCGGCGCAGGGGGCGATGGCAGCAGCGTCGACCTGTCTCCATGCCGGCGAAGGAGCCGGCGAAGACTTGTTCAGGCTGGCAGCGCGATTGAACGCGAAGCGCGTGCAGTACCAGCCAGGGCTCTACGCGAACCCACACCAGAAAGACGAAAGTACCGTTGGCGCGATCAAGGAGAGCTCCTCAGGCAGCCGCGACACGCACGCGCGGCTGCTTAAGAAACGCCGTCTGGAGGAGCAGTCGCAGGAAGAGGCACCGACGCCGAAAGCGAAAGCTCGGCGAGCTGCTAAAAGCCGCGCCGCGCCCAAACGTGCTACCCGAGTCCTCCCGCCTAGCGTGGCGTCTGTGCCATGTTAAATGGCGACGCTTCGGATTACCAGCCGCAAGAGCCAGTGCGTGGCAGACCCGTTAACCCCGCAGTCGTGCGTCGACTTCAAGAAGCGCTGCGCGGAGGAGGGCCTCGGTTGGGCCGCGCTTATCG